GAAGTAATATTTATTTTTCTAGAAGTGTTGAAGGATTCGTATTAATATCAAAAATAATTCTGTGCATTACCTACTTAAACTAAAAATACGACGAGATAGAAAACTGAAACTTTAACCGTGCTATGCTATGCTAATAATTGCTTTAATAAAACCTTTTTTGCATTATAATTAAAGAACAAGAACTAACCAAATACAGGGTGTAATCTCTGAAAATGAATGAAAGAAGACCGTTGATGTCAAGGCAACAAGCAAACTTTGAAAGAAATGACGTAAGTCAAAAAATCCTCGATATTATCCCACTTATGTACTTTAAGTACCTACTTTCATAATGTTACTTGAGCCAGTCGGAATGTGTTTTTTCCAGATAATTCTAGATTACGAACCGGTTTTAGGTTATCTTATCTGTTATCGAATCTATTTATAAGAGATATCATCCACTCTACTTTGGTATTATTATTTTAGATAACACTCGTTGGTAGGCAATTTCAGTAGGTAGGTATAATAGACTAAGAGCTAGTGAACGCCAGACCTACGTCATTTTATTAAAGCTGAAAGTTTGTCAGCGTATGCTCCCAATCTAGGATATAATATTGGTGAATTATGAAGTTTGGGTCATCGTGGCTGGTGGGGGCTACCCTAAAAAACTGTCTGGCAAGGAGTTGGTACTGTCAAAACTGTCTGGCTGTTGGGGAAAATACTTCTAATTATTGCCCAAATATTATACATAAAAAATCAGATTTTATGGTTTAACGTAAGTCTAACTTTTACGATGGCTTTATCTGTAATAGGACCCCACTTTCCCCGTGAATGTCGTAAGCGACTAAAGGACAAATATGTGAACATCAGGCCTTCCCAACCCGTCTGGCCAGCGTGGGGAGTGTAGGCCGAATCCTCCATTTGCCTCTGGTAAATTAGAGGGTCGTGCTCCTGCAATGGAGACTAAATGGCCTGATGATGATGACAGAATGATGACGAAGGAGATTGCATAATGCACTTTAATTCAATCTCGAAGACAAGTGAAGGGTCGGACTGGCCGACTCGTCGTCCGAGGAACGCGGGTTTGTACTCCGCCGTCGCTCGACTATTGTGGTGAGCTCACTCGTGACACAAGCATATTTAGCTTAGTACGAGGGGCTAACGGGACTATTAGATAGTAATTTGTGCAATACCTAACTAATGTTCTTTTGCACCGACGGATTAGCAAGCTGAAATTGCAATAATACGCAGAACTGACGGCCGATGGGGCAGCAAGGTTCTGGAATGGAGGCCGCGTACTGGAAAGCGCAGCGTAGAAGGTGGACCGACGACCTGATGAAGGTAGCTAGAAGGCGCTGGATGCAGGCCGCTCCCACCCGGCCTTTGTGGAAATCATTGGGGGAGGCCTATGTTCAGCAGTGGACGTCCTATGGCTGAAATGATGATGATGAATGTTCTTTTGAAAACAAAATCTACCTGTAAATAATCCTGTAAATCGTTCAGATATGCCTACAAGACAATCTATACTAATATAATAAATGCGAAAGTAACTCTGTCTGTCTTACTTTCACACCTAAACCACTGATCCAATTTTGATGAAATTTCGCATACAGATAGTTTGAGTCCCGGGAAAGGACATAGGATAGTTTTTATCCCGGTTTTTGAAACAGGGACGCGCGCGATATAGTTTTTCTGTGACAGACAAAATACCACGCGGGTGAAGTCGCGGGCGGCCGTTAGTACCAAATGAACTACTGTTACATAAAAACTTATAGCTGTCATAATAACAACAAAATAACACAGATGAGCACGTTTTATATTCGTCCGAATGAGTACTAAATACAACGACCAACACTTCTATTGTTCCACGGAAATTATTCATTAACAACTGCCAGGGTTGAAACTGACAAGGGAATAACTGTTCCGTATGTTTTTATTGTTTTATTATTCCACTTAGTGCACCAAAATAGCACCTACACGAGTAGCACCTGGCCTATTAAGGTGCTCTAAATGGAATACCATTTAGAGCACCTTTCGATATTTTGGGCGGGTGCTATTCGTGGAATCAAATGTAATTTTATATCGATAGGTGCTCTAAGTGAAACAGGCCAGGTGCTATTCGTGCGGGTGCTATTTGGGCGGGTGCTCTAAGTGGAATACGTAATTTTTGATTATCAGTTTGATTACTTATTAACAAGTTTTACTTAGGGCTTATCCTACGGAGACATCGAGTTTTTTGCAGGATTCCGTTAAACGTGTTTTATGCCCGTTTTCACCATCAATTCCAAATTTTTAAGTGACCCATAAAACAAAATTCTTATTATGTGTTACCATCTTGTTATGTGTTACCATAGGGGTCACTTAAAAATTAAATATTGATGGTGAAAACGGGCATTAGTCCCGCAAAACCGATCCGTTAGAATTTGTAATTCGATTTCGAACACACAAATAGATTTATTTGTCTCAAAAGAGTGTAATAATAGTGTGTTCATACGACAGTCCACTTTGCGAGATCCTGCACAAAACTGGATTCCAATGGGAACAAACTCTTTACGGACAACATAACGGACTCCTGATATTAGCAATTGTAACAATAACAGAAACAAGGAAAATATGCCGGTCACGGTAAAATAAAAATAAAATGTTAATTATGTGCTATTTTTAAATCGAAATCTGACTCGGATCTGAAACTTGGTCGCTTACTATGGGCCTCATAAGAAGGCTCAAGGTCACCCAAAGGGCGCGATGAAGCGGGCCATGCTTGGAGTTTCCCTGCGTGATCGAATCAGAAATGAGGAGATCCGCAGGAGAACCAAAGTGACCGACATAGCTCGCAGAATCGCTAAAATCAAGTGGCAGTGGGCGGGGCACATAGCTCGTAGAGACGATGGCCGTTGGGGCAGAAAAGTTCTCGAGTGGCGACCACGGGCTGGAAGACGTAGCGTGGGCAGGCCTCCTGCTAGGTGGACCGACGATCTGGTGAAGGTCGCGAGAAGAGCCTGGATGCGGGCAGCGCAGGACCGTTGTGGAAAACCTTGGGGGAGGCCTTTGTCCAGCAGTGGACGTCATTTGGCTGAAACGTAACGTACGTTTAAATCGAAATCCATTCATTCGTGTTTTTGTACGTGTCTCTAACGCCCATATTCACAAACATTACTATGAGGTCTCACAGTGCGCGTGGACGCACAGGGTGACACACGAACCAATTACAGAGCTCTATCCAACGCTGTGCGTTCGATTTGCTGCTTCACTTAAGCAAGCATCGTTTGCGAATACCTACGGACGTAATTCTCAAGTACCTAACTTTTGCACGCGTTTTCGACTGCGTAGATTTCTTTGAAAAGTAGCTATATGCCTTATTTCTTTTTAATCATTAAGTTTTAAAATTTATATTATTTTCTGTCTTTATTGGATTTTATATTGCTAGGTAGGTATTTGGTGTGTCTGGATTTTGATTTTAATATTTCTTGTGATATTATCTGTAATTTTTTTTCTTTTGCATGTTGAATAGCACCTGTTCGTACTAGTATAGGTAGGTATTTAATGGAAATAATTTGTGTTTTTCTAATGTAGGTACCTACCTAATTTAATCTTTAATCGTTTCTGTATAGTTGTGCAAGGAGATTAAAGCTAAGTATTTTAAAAAATAGTCTTCAAATATCTTATTCGATCAAACACTAAAACCCAATGATATTATACATAATAAAATAGTTCTATAATATCATTGCTAAAACCTATCTCCGTCCGCATCGCCTATAAAATCGCAAAAAATCTAGACGGCGAAACACAAAATGGCCGACTTCGAACTGGTTTGAGCCGGATCACACCAGTTACTGGGGTCGATGACCCGCTAACTGCAATAGTGTTTTGTTTAAAACAACAAAGTAGAAAGTTTTGGCCATAACCTATACATTTTAATGCGCAGTTGGTGAAATTGGAATGTATTATACTTTATGACAGTGACAGGCTCATAATTTTCTAAATAAAATAAATATAATACAATCTGAACATTACAAACTTGAAGGATTGCGTGCTAACATTGGAAAGTAATTAATCAATTAAAATACATAGATAAAATTAATTTTTCTTCGAAATCGGGCCTTTTCAAGGCGAGAGTGAATAGGCACTTACAGAGCACCATCCTAGGTCAAATACCTGCCTTGTTATGCATAAAAAAATCGACTAAGGGACAAATATGCGAACATCAGGCCTTCCCAACCCGTCTGGCCAGCGTGGGGAGTGTAGGACAAATCCTCCATTTGCCTCTGGTCAATTAGAGGGTCGTGCTCCTGCAGTGGAGACTAAATGACCTGATGATGAAGGATAAAAATCAGTAGACACGAGTGAGACATCGTGGGAACCAATTCTTGGTATCCGAGTATAAACTTCCCCATAGTTTATAAACATAGTCGGAACATACGCGATTGTGCTGTTTATAAATACGACCCAGTAGACAAGATGGCGTCGAGAAGAACTAGAAAAACTTACAAAACTCACTTTATTTTTGCGCTTATTTCTAAACCAAAACTAGTAACCCTGTTACTCGTTGGGAAAAAAATCCCATCCAGTCAACACCCCTACTCGTTAACCTGTATTTTTTTACTGTAAGCTTTACAATATTTCATTACTAGCTTTCCGCCCGCGGCTTCGCCCGCGTGGAATTTTGTCTGTCACAGAAAAACTTTAACGCGCGTCCCTGTTTCAAAAACCGGGATAAAAACTATCCTATGTCCTTTCCCGGGACTCAAACTATGTCCCTGCCAAATTTCATCAAAATCGGTTCAGTGGTTTAGGCGTGAAAGAGAGACAGACAGACAGACAGAGTTACTATCGCTTTTGTAATATTAGTATAGATATTTATAATGTTTTTTATAATGAAAGCTCTTCTATCTTGATGTTAAAGTTATAATATTTGAATACTGACCGCCTCGAGTTGATACGGTTACGTTCCATTTCCGTGTTGATAAGTGTGCTAAGTCCTTAACATCGAACTCCTTCTAACATAGGAGTCTACGATCAATTTCGTTGCGGGTCCAATGACAGTTTAACTAACAAACTTGGCCTTCACTGGTTGGGTTATTGGCGGTCAAGCTGTAGATCCTGGCTACACAGGCGTTGCAGCGGTAGGAACGAAAATTGGATGACTTTATTTCCGTACCAGAATGTTCAAAATTGGTTTACTGGTTTGGATAAAGGTTACAAATAGAAAAGAGTTATCCATTGGCTGGTAATATTAACTGTTAGCAAAAAAATCTATTTAGCAAAATAACAATAATCATGAAAGACTGCATAATATAGTAACATTTAGTTATATGATAATACTAGCTGACCCGGCGAACTTTGTTCCGCCTTAATAGCAATAAATAAGCAGACTTTTTTTTATTTCGAACGGGATAAAAAGTATCCTATGTCCTTCTCCTGGCTCTAAACTACCTCCCTGACAATTTTCAGCTAAATCGGTTCAGCCGTTCTTGAGTTATAAGTGAAGTAACTAACACGACTTTCTTTTATATATGTATATAGATATCTTAGTTTTACAAAGTCAACACCACTCAATAACCAACATCATCTAAAGTCAGATTAGTTACAAACCACCGCTTCTGTAAGACAATGTGACACTGACAGCTGTCAAAAGCAAAAATGGCGGACTTTTTGAACAAACTAAAGAAGAAGAAGGCCGACAAGAGCCACAGGAATAGTGTATACTCTATGGTTTCCTCCAGTGATCTGACGCCGGGCAGTCTGGAGATCTGGGTGGATCTTCCGGATGAGATCAAGTACGATGCATCGCTGGCACCCTTCAAGAGGCTGTACGAGCAGCAGCATGGTAAGAAAACCTTTTTAATTTAGGTCATTATCAGACTTCATCATCATCATCATTTCAGCCAAAGGACGTCCACTGCTGAACATAGGCCACCCCCAACGGCTTTCACAATAACCAGTTGGCAGCGGCCCGCATCCTGCTACCTTTTGAGGTCGTCGGTCCACCTTGTGGGTGAACGTCCTACGTTGCGCTTTCCGGTACGTGGCATAGCACACTTATCAACCCGGAAAGGGATCAACACCGAATCGCCTTTCGCCGCGTTTACGTTACGGTGCGGATAATAAGTGTGCGTTGCAGTACGGAGTTTCATACAAAGAATACCGCCTCGAGTTGATACGGCTACGATCCGTTTCCGGGTTGATAACTGTGCTACGTCCTTTAGTCCACCCTTATTTTACACCCTATATTACATTATAAACATATCATATTCTGAAGTTAAATTATTTATAATTATGAACATTTTCTTCTAATAATGTTTTTGAAGTGGCAATGGGCTGGGCACATAGTACGCAGAACTGACGGCCGATGGGTCAGCAAGGTTCTGGAGTGGAGGCCGCGTACCGGAAAACGCAGCGTGAGACGTCCACCTACAAGGTGGACCGACGACATCGTAAAGGTAGCAGGGAAGCGCTGGACGCAGGCCGCTACCAATCGATCAACGTGGAAAGCATTGGGGGAGGCCTATGTTCAGCAGTGGACGTCCTATGGCTGAAATGATGATGCTGATGATGATGAATGTTTTTAACAAGTCTAATTATTAGTTGATTCCATTCACTAACTGCTTCTCTTCAGTTCATAACTAACTCGACTATTTTCTAAACGCAGGCAAATTGGAAACACCAATCGAGGGTGATGAGGGACACAACCTATTCGACAAGAAGATTGCGGATCTCAGAACTGAAGAGAACGAAGCGCAGAACCTCCAGAATATGCTCAAGGACAGTGGGAGTAGGTAAGTTGCCCTATGGTTGAGGATTTATATTGTGAGATTCTATGGTTAAGAATTCCTATAATGAGATTCACTATAAATAGGCCTCATATAAAAGCTGAAAGTTGCACAGCGTGCTATGAAAAGGGCTATGCTCGGTGTTTCTTTATGTGATCGAATCAGAAATGAGGAGATCCGTAAACGAACTAAAGTCGCTGACATAGCCCGACGGATTAGCAATCTATAGTGGCAGGACACATAGTACGCAAAACTGACGGCCGATGTGGCAGCAAGGTTCTGGAGTGGAGGCCACATACCGGAAAACGCACAAGGTAGACCGACGACCTGATAAAGGTAGCAGGAAGGGGCTAAATGCAGGCCGCTACCAACCGGACGAATTGCATATCATAGGGGGAGGCTTATGTTGAGCAGTGGACATCCTGTAGCTGAAATGATGATGATGATGAATAATTTTGTATGTCTGTTACAGGTTGATGGATCCTCTAAATACGAAGGCAGAAAAGAAAATTAAATCAGAAAGGAAGAAACAGGTATGACAACATTGACAACTGAAACCATAAGTCTGACGAATGAACGATGGGAAATGGGAACGCATGGCAGAATGACGTCCACTACTAGACAAAGGCTAAGAATTTCCATAACGACCTGCGCTACCCGCATCCAGGTACTTCCTGTGACCTTCACCAGATCGTCTGTTCACCTAGTAGAATACCTGCCCAAACTACGTCTTCCGTTCCACTAACAAAGCCTTATATTAAAGGTTACTTAAACCTTTGTTTTGTCTCCTGTTATCCGCTTTGCACTGGAGGGATGTTGAAACTCGAACTCCTCCTATGTTCTTCTGATTAATTTCGTTGCTGATCCAATGACAGTTAAACTTCCCCAGGGTGAAACTTTACCTTCCTTCACTGGTTGGGTTATTGGCGGTCAAGCTGTGGATCCTGGCAACACAGGAGTTGCAGCAGTAGGAACGAGAAGTGGGAATAGTCATGTAGCCTTATTCACTTAACAAAACTTTAACGACAACAAAACATTGAGTTGCGATCCTATCGAATAATCGTTCTATCAAAATGACCCTTGTGAATACGGATTTAGAACTGTTTTTCAATGGGACGACGTACCAAAACTTCAATGACAACAAATCGCTGAGTTGCGATCCTATCGAGTAATCGTTCTATCGAAAATGACCCTTGTGAATACGGATTTATAACAGCTGTTTTTCAATGAGACGACTTCTAAACGTCAGCGAGATCTTGAGTGTCAAAATACGTGAATTAAGCCTTCTCTTTCTTGATCCCACATTCATTTTCTTACAGGTGCAATTCATAGCTCGTATCTTCAAGCTATCGGCGCTGGTCGGCTGCTGGCTGCTGCTGACTGTTTCTCTCATCATGAATAGGGAGAAGCTGGATGTGGTCCTCCATACCGCTGTTAAAGAGGGAGAAATAAAAGGTAAATTAGAGCTTGTTCCTACGGAGAAATCCAGTTTTTTGCAAGATCCCGCCCTTGCGAAGCACACTTATCAACCCGGAAACGGATCGTAACCGTATCAACTCGAGGCGGTCAGTATTCTTTGTATGAAACTCCGTACTGCAACGCACACTTATCCTCACCGTAACGTAAACGCCTCGCCTCGCGGCGATAGATGATACGGTGTTGATCCCTCTCTGGGTTGATAATATAATTGCTGTGCTATGACCTTAAGGGCCCTTTCCCACGGTAATCACTTTTTGCGGGATCCAGTAAACAACATTTTACACCACAGTCCAGTAATGGAGGATCCCGCAAAATTGGATCATCATCATCTCAGCCATAGGACGTCCACTGCTGAACATAGGCCTCCCCCAATGCTTTCCATGTTACCCTGTTGGTAGCGGCCTGCGCCCAGCGCTCTCCCGCTACGATTGCTATGGGAAAAGGCCCCTACACGACACGCACTCTTCTATTCACTTCGCTCGCACCACACGTAGCAAGCCGCCGGTAACAACTATGTATAGTCTGGTCACCGAGCACGTAGAATTTTGTCCAATGACCTCAAGCTACCCATCCTTATCGCTCGCGCGTAATTATATTGCTGTCGCGACTGTGCGACGGGCGCCCGCAGTGAGTGTGCGAGCACGACAGCAACATAATTACGCGCGAGAAATAAGGATGGGTAGCTTGGGGTCATTGGACAAAATTCTACGTGCTCGGAGACCGGGCTTTAGTTTAGTAAATGAAACAAACTGCATTGTTTTCAGAATACGCCCTGCAGCCTACACTCCAGAAGGCGCTGGTAGCCATCACCCTCACTGGACCCTTCAGCCAGAGCAGACGGAACGAGAGCGAACACCTACTCTATATCTGGCTGCATAGGGAGTCTGAAGTCTTAGGATTGGAGCAGGTTCGTTGATCATTCATTGGACAGCGTTCGGGAAGCTTCGCGATATTCTCACGTCCGAAATACCGCAGTGTCTCAAGTCAAAAGTATTTGACCAGTGTGTGTTGCCAGTGATGGTATACGGATCTGAGACGTGGTCGCTTACTATGGGCCTCATAAGAAGGCTCAAGGTCACCCAAGGAGCGATGGAGCGTGCTATGCTCGGAGTTTCCCTGCGTGATGGAATCAGAAATGAGGAGATCCGTAGGAGAACCAGAGTGACTGACATAGCTCGCAGAATCGCTAAAATCAAGTGGCAGTGGGCGGGGCACATAGCTCGGAGAGCTGATGGCCGCTGGGGCAGGAAAGTTCTTGAGTGGCGACCACGAGCTGGAAGACGTAGCGTGGGCAGGCCTCCCACTAGGTGGACCGACGATCTGGTGAAGGTCGCAGGAGGTGCCTGGATACGAACGGCGCAAGACCGGTCTTTGTGGAAATCCTTGGGGGGAGGCCTTTGTCCAGCATTGGACGTCTTTCGGCTGAAACGAACGAACGAACGAACGTTGACCATTGGTTTCAGCCAAATGATGAATTAGCAAGCTGAAGTGGCAATGGGCAGGGCATTAGTACGCAGAACTGACGGATGGGGCAGCAAGGTCCTGGAGTGGAGGCTACGTACCAGATAGCGCAGTGTAGGACATCCACCCACAGAGTGGACCGACGTCCTCATAAAGGTAGCGGGAAGGCGCTGGATGCAGGCCGCCATCAACCAGCCATTGTGGAAATCATTGGGGGAGGCTTATGTTCAGCAGTGAAGCAGTTCCTATGAAAATTGATGATGATGAAATGACGTCCACTGCTGGACATAGACCTCCCTGGATTTCCACAACGACTGTTCTTGCGCTGCCCGCATCCAGGTTCTTTTTGCGACCTTTTTAACTGAAAACAGATTGAGTTGAAATTTTACAAACGCATGTAATATCTAAAAAAATCGTTATTCTGTTCTTTCTTATTTTAAGTTAGTTTTTGAACTTTTCTAAAGTTAAAAACGCAACAAGATAATACTAGGAATAATATCAAAGGTAAAAGTAATAAAATAAATATCATAGGTCCCGGGTTCGATTCCCAGTGGGGGCATATTTTTCTGTTCGGTTTGGTTGGTGGTAGAGCTTGTTCTAAGTCCGCCTGGCTAGCTACCACCATCTTACCTAAGTCTGTCGCCATAACAACAATGTTAACAGCATTATTGTGTTCCGGCAGTTAGAGGTAAGATAGCCAGTTCCTCCGTGGTTGAGGATTCCGGGTGAAGCTCGCTTCCACCTTCGGCCTGATCGTCACTTACCATCAGGTGAGATACAGGCCAAGAGCTTCCTCGTTGCGGATAAAAGAAAAATCTCCCCACTGGAAAATACGTTTTTGCAATTTTATGCCTAAAGGAAAATTGAATAGGTAAAACCATTCACAATTTAATTCCTTACACTGTGTTAACTTATAAATATTAATGAAGTCATATGTTATGTAGTTTAAATAATATTTATTTTGTCCAGCAGTGGAACAGAAACACCTTACTGTACCTACACTACCTATACGAGTATGTGTATATAGAAAGATAAATAAAAGCTTGTAAAATCATCATCATCATCATTTCAACCATAGGACGTCCTGGTCTGGACGACTGCTGAACACAAGCCTCCAACGATTTCCATGTTGACCGGTTGGTAGCGGCCTACGTCCAGCGCCTTCCTGCTACTTTATGATGTCGTTGGTCCACCTTGTGGTACGCGGCTTCCACTCCAGGACCTTGCTGCCCCATCGGCCGTCAGTTCTGCGTCCTATGTGCCCTGGCTATAGTCACTTCAGCTTGCTAATCTGTCGGGCTATGTCAGCGACTTTAGTTCGTTTACGGATCGCCTCGTTTGATTCGATCTCACAAGGAAACAACGAGCATTGTAAAATACTACCTGTATAAGCTAAGAGTCATAAAATCCATACTACGAGTATTAACGATCACTGTAAAACATGAAATCGTAAAAGTGGTGTTATTGTATAAAATAAACAGTTTATCCAAGGAAGACTAACAATTGACTCGGATAATAATCAACAAACAATACTTTACAGCCTGCACATAGACTTTTATGATTGTCAAGATGCTGACTACGATTGTCTATGATCTGTAGGTACATATTTACAGAGTGTAAACGGGATTTTTAAAGGTTACTGATGTCCCTGTTAACTCCTGGCAAGCTTAATATGCTTGTGTTAGCCAAGGTTGGTCTGCACTGCGGAAAATCTGGGCATAGGTGGAACTTGGGTTCCTTCCTTCAACTACCCTATTGCTCAAAAAGAAGGACACTGGTGGATTTTCAGTAGTTAGGACCCTACCATCTGGAAGGGAGAGCCCCACAGAACCCGTCGCTTGACCACAGCGGTGGGTATGCCATTCCATGAATTTTTACCACCTAAAAAGCGAGTGGCTACATCCACACATACACCACACACCACCACACAATGGTCCAACACGATGGGGATCGAACTAAGAGAATGGTTTATCATTTACTGCTGTCCGGACAGAAGTTTTCCTGTCTTAAAAAAAGTTATATGGCCGTTATGTTTACTCATTATGTTGTAACATCTACCTTATTGTATTACCTTGTCTCGATGAATAAATGATCTGTAAATCTTTTTAATCTTAATCAATTTCTTGAATTTTCCGAGCATTATTCTTGATTTTTGTTACACAAGAACCTTCTTGTGACAATATCAAACGCAACAAAAAAGGAATTCGAGAAATCGGGCCAGCCAAATTAAAAGACCTTTCAGTTCATCCATTTTTATAAAAGGTCTTGCGTTTTTTCAGAACTCCACGATTTGGGCCGTCCATCTTCAGTCCGAAGATGTTCTGGACTTTTCACCAAGCATCACGGAGTCCAAAACCCTCGCACTAGAGCAAAGTCAACTGAAACCACCGGTTTTTAGTCTGGATAACAGCAGCGACCTCGACCTGTTATCGTGGGACCAAATTGAAAATAATGGTAAGGATTCATCATCATCAGGTCATTTAGTCTCCACTGCAGGGGCACGACCCTCTAATTGACCAGAGGCAAATGGAGGATTTGGCCTACACTCCCCACGCTGGCCAGACGGGCTGGGAAGGCCTGATGTTCGCATAATATTTCTCCCAGATGGTTGTCTCTTTCTTGCTTCCATTAAATGTGGTTCTCTCTTTCTCGCAGGTACAACAGTGACTCTGCGTATGGCGACAACCAGCAACTGCACGGTTCCTCTCACAGTGAGCTACCAAATGAACCCTCTGGATGAGAGAGATGGGATCATATACTCCACAATTCTGCTGGCTTCTTTATATCTTCTTATTATTTTTGAGGTAAGTTTGCTAACAGGACTATTCCCACCTCTCGTTCCCACCGATGCAACTCCTGTGTAGCCAGGATCTACAGCTTGACCGACAATAACCCAACCAGGGAAGTTCAAGTTTGTCCCGGGGGAAAGTTAAACTATCATTGGACCTGCAACGACACTATTCGAAAGCAAAGATTAATTATCGCTCAGTTCAGAACAGATCTACAGCTTCACTTTGCCAAATAATAGTGACTGAGTTTCTTGCACTGCTCCTTCTCAGCACTGGCCCATATTACTGTCCCGAAGCAGTGGATACTGCGACTAAAGGTCATAGCATACTTACCAACTCGGAAAGGAATCGACGCCGTATCTCATTTCGCTGCGAGGCGAGGTGTTTACATTACTGTGCAGATAAGTGTGCATTGCAGTTCCATTCAAAGAATACTGACCGTCTCGAGTTGATACGTTTTCGGGTTGATAAGTGTGCTTTGTCCTTAAAAGTGTTTTTTGGGAGTCTACTTGCATAAATAAACGATTTGATTTGATTTGAATACTAAAACCTCTTCCAGATAGTGAACCGGACCATCGCAGCACTTCTCTCCTCGTCTCTCGGAGTAGCAGTTCTGGCTCTCAGCGGTGCCCGACCTTCCTTGTCTGAGCTGGTCTCTTGGCTGGATGTGGAGACCCTGCTATTGCTCTTTAGCATGATGCTCCTGGTCGCTATACTGGCAGAAACTGGGCTGTTCGATTACCTGGCTGTGGTAGCCTTTGAGGTGAGCTTACTGCTTAAGCATCGGCCAAAACAACGCGTGCAGGCGGCGACGGCGATGGCGATCACTGCGTGTGCATAAATCGCCGCTACCAATGACAGGACGCGTTGATGTGATCTCATTGCTACAAATTCATAAAGTCAAAGTCAAAGTCAAAAATTCTTTATTTGTTTAGACTAATAAATAGTTCTTACAAATCGTCATAAAATATGCTCTTAAGGAGCCTCTACATGTCTCATAATCTTTTTACCCTACCAGCGCTTCGAGACCAACATTTGGCAAGTGCTGAGAAGAAGCGCCGCAACAAACTCAGTCACCACTGTCTGCCGGTTAATATAAATAAATAGAAATAGTAGTAGTAGGTACATTCGATTCAGGAGCAGTTCACTGAATTTACCATGCATTTTGAATACTTTTTTACATGCTCAAGAAAAGATATACTATTATTATACTTTTTCATGCCATAAAGTTCATATAACGTATTTCGACTTTTGTATATTCCCTTAGTAGCCCAGTCACTAAACTTACATTTGGTATTTGGTTTTAATGGCTTTACCGTAAAAACTTTGTCATGTTCGGTTTTAATACATTCGAAAAGGTTATTGTAAAGAGCATCTGGGTCTCCCTGCACATACGGGACTAAATGCAATTTATTTTCAAGATTATTTTTAAAACGTTCTAGACGACTAATGGTTACAGGTCTACATACGGCATTTTTATTACTTTTATTATTCAAATTATTACAAATAAATTCTACTTTAATACCACAGTGATCTGACGTAAGATTGTGTATGACAGCTTTATTGTCAGGGACACAGCTAGAGAAAATATTATCTAGACAAGTAGCTGTGGTTTCCGTAATTCTAGTTGGTTCCTTAAATTGACTAAACAAATTAAATGACTTAAAAAGGGAAAGTAGTCTTACAGAATATGATGATGAGCTATCTAGTAAATTGACGTTAAAATCTCCACAAACTAAGACCTTTTTGTTGCTGTTACAAGTTTTATTAAGAGCATCCTCAATAGCCGCTTCAAAAATACCAAAGTCCCCAGAAGGGGGTCTATACACACATACAATGATGTAACTCTCAAGCTCGACACAGGAAATTTCGACAACACGCTCAACTGATAGCCCTACTACATCTTTGCGTTCTTTATATCTAATATTATTATTCACAAATATTAAGGAGCCTCCGTGAATGGCAGACTTCCTGAAAAACGCGCTACTTAACTGATAATTATCTATATGAAAAGAGCTTTCATATTTCTTTAGCCAGTGTTCAGTAATACACATTACATTAATATCAAAACTTTTTAAGAATAGCTCTATTTCTAAGACTTTGCTGGCCAAGCCTTGAATATTTTGATGAACAATCTTGAATGTTCCGGGCTTGGCCTTTGTCGAGTAACACGACGCATACACGACATCTGTTCGCACGCAGCTTGCACGCGTTGGATTGGCCGAATCTTTAGGTATAGTCTGGTCTGTGAGCACGCACACTCACTGCGGGCGCCCGGCGCACAGTCGCGACAGCAATATAATTACGCGCGAGCGATAAGGATGGGTAGCTTGGGGTCATTGGACAAAATTCTACGTGCTCGCAGACCAGGCTTTAGAACCGGTTATTATGGAAACCATTGGACTCTATGTTCAGCAGTGGACGTCCTATGGCTAAAATGATGATGACTGATTCTGCTATCGTGGGTTCTGATGGAGTAGAATAAAGGTCATAGCAGATTTGTAAACTCTGAAAGGGATTAACACCGTATCGCCTTTCGCGTGCTGTCAACCGCGAGGCGAGGCGTTTATGTTACGGTGCGGATAAGTGTGCGTTGCAGTATGGAGTTTCATACAAAGACTAACCACCTTTTTTAACCGTAACAAAAACAATAACCGGTGCTTTTTGTATGGAGTTTGACAGATTTTTGAAATTTTTCAAAGTTAAAGTAAGATGGTACTGAGCGTCTCGGGTTGATAAGGTTACGATCCCTTTCCGGGCTGATAAGTGTGCTTCGTCCTTAATGATGATGATGATGTGACTATATTTTATTTCAGGTGACAGGAGGAAGGACGTGGCCATTGATAAATTGCCTATGCTTCTTCACTGCCTTCTTCTCCACGTTTCTCGACAACGTCACCACGGTTCTTCTCATGACACCAGTCACTATAAGGTAAAAAGCAACAGCAACGGGACTATTCCCACCTCTCGTTCCCACCGCTGCAACTCCTGTGTAGCCAGGATCTACAGCTTGACCGCCAGTAAAAACCCAACCAGTGAAGGTCAAGTTAGTCCCGGGGGAAAGTTAAACTGTCATTGGACCCGCAACGAAATTAATCAGAAGAACACAGGAGTTCGAAATTAAATTAAATTAAAAATTGTTTATTTCAATAAAGTTACCGGGGTCTCCCAGAAAGTAATCGTAAGATCAATAGGGATGTTTCCTGGGTTAAAAAGCAAGATTTTTAATTAGTCCGTCAGTTAACTTATCAAAAAAGACTACACCTATTTTTCACTTTTTCAAACTAATGAAAAAAAGAGATAAAGCGCGCCAAAGTTCATAAGAAGAGGCCTGTGACGTCAATGAGTGCATTAAAGTGCCGCACTTTGTGACGTCACGCGGAACTTCAACGCACCATAACTATGTAATTATTTGTTAGATTGACAAATAAAAATATAGGTGTCCAATATTTTTTGATATTAAACATGACGGACTAAAAAAATTTTTTTAGGAAACTAGCCTATTCTAAGAATTAATTCTCAAGATTCTAAGAATCAAACGTTGCAGGTTGTGCGAGGTGATGCAGCTGAACCCTGTGCCGGTTCTGATGTCGATGGTGATCTTCAGCAACGTGGGCGGCGCAGCCACGCCGGTGGGCGACCCGCCCAACGTCATCATAGCCAGCCACCCCTCCATGCTGGAGCAAGCAAGTCTTCTTCTTCTGCCTCCCCTTCGTTCGTTCGTTCGTTTCAGCCGAAAGACGTCCACTGCTGGACAAAGGCCTCCCCCAAGGATTTCCACGAAGACTGATGCTGTACCGCTCGCATCCAGGCACCTCCCGTGACCTTCAACAGATCGTCGGTCCACCTAGGGGGAGGCCTGCCCACGCTACGTCTTCCGGCTCGTGGTAGCCACTCAAGAACTCTCCTGCCCCAGCGGCCATCAGCTCTACGAGCTATGTGCCCCGCCCACTGCCACTTTATTTTAGCGAATTTGCGGGCTATGTCAGTCACTCTGGTTCTCCTACGAATCTCCTCCTGCCTCCCCTTATCAACAAGTTACGCGGTGTCCGCTTTAATTCTTTTTAATGCACCCGGAAAAGGCTACACCGTATCGCCTTTCGTCGCGCTATCGCCTATCAACCGCGAGACGTTTACGTTCCGTCCGGTACAGATAAGTCGTGTGCGTTTGCAGTACAAAGAAATACAATCGCAAACAATGCTGACCCCATCCTACGGTTACGATCCCTTTCCTGTTTGATAAGTGTGCTTAGTCCTTTATAATATTAGAAAATAATGGAAATGGAAATGGAAATAATGGAAAGTCCGGTCGTCGAGCAGATAATAATTTCGTAGAATGTGATTTTCGCACATTCACTGTAAGACGGGCGGCCGCAGTGAGTGTGCGTGCGCGTTGGGGTCATTGTACGAAATTCCATCTGCTCGGCGACCGGACTTTAGTTGAGACAAAATATTTACTGTCTGGTTTTCTTACAGAACATAAACTTCACGACGTTCACGCTACACATGGGCGTGGGAATCCTCCTGGTGTGCGTGCAGACTTACTTCCAGCTGCGGTTCATGTTCCGGGATATGAACAAGCTGAGGCACAGCGTCCCTAGGGATATATTAGGTAAAATACAAAGGTGTCTCTAAAAGTTCGTTCGTTCGTTTCAGCCGAAAGACGTCCACTGCTGGACAAAGGCCTCCCCCAAGGATTTCCACAAAGACCGGTCCTGCGCCGCTCGCATCCAGGCACCTCCCGCGATCTTCACCAGATCGTCGGTCCACCTAGTGGGAGGCCTGCCCACGCTACGTCTTCCGGCTCGTGGTCGCCACTCAAGAACTTTCCTGCCCCAGCGGCCATCAGCTCTTCGAGCTATGTGACCCGCCCACTGCCACTTGATTTTAGCGATTCTGCGGGCTTTGTCAGTCTGGCTCTCTTACGGATCTCCTCATTTCTGATTCGATCACGCAGGGAAACTCCGAGTATAGCCCGCTCCATCGCCCTTTGTGTGAATTTTCTCTCTCGTTCCTTCCAGAGTTGCGGCAAGAGATAGCAGTATGGCGGAGGGCCGCAGCCTCCCTCTCCTCGTACTCCAGAGACGAAGACCTGGTCCGGAGAGCGCTAGAGAAAAAGGTTCGTCATCATCATCATTTCAGCCATAGGACGTCCACTAACATAGGCCTCCCCCAATTATTTCCACAATGGCTGATTGGTGGCGGCCTGCATCCAGCGCCTTCCTGCTACCTTTATGAGGTCGTCGGTCCACGGTAGGCCTGCCCACACCACGTCTTCCGGCTCTTGGTCGAATTTTATAAATTTTGTTATTATACATATTTTATTACTTTATTAATTTGACAAATATCAAAGCGAGAACAGCCTAGCGCAGCAGGTTTTTTAAGGACAAAACACACTTATCAACCCAGAAACGGATCGTACGTAACCGTATCAACTCGAGGCGTGTATGAAACTCCGCACTGCAACGAACACATATCCGCACTGTAACAAAAACGACTTGCCTCACGGTTGACAGCGAAGCGAAATGCGATACGGTGTTGATTCCTCTGCGGGTTGATAAGTGTGCTATGACCTTAACTTTCATGATAACAGTGTGTCCTGTGGTGAAAAAAAAATGTGGTCTGGGTAATAAGTATCATAAAGGGTGTAAATCGAAGAATTTCATAATTTATTGTGTTTTAAAAAAATAAGATAGTTTTTTCTAATTTTTTCCTAAAATAGTCATGACCATGGTTACCCTACGGTGCCGGCTTATTATTGAATTTTGGGATATTGAGTAGAAATATGAACTGCTAGAAACTAATTATACTTATTATTTCAGGTCAATAAGCTAAACAGTGCACTACTGAGGAGGGAGGCTGGAGGGGGCACCTCTAAGACAGACCCTATGTTCTGTTCCACTCTTGCGCAGATGAAGCAAAAGGTTTGCATTAGTATATTTGAAATTTGAATTAGAGTAGAATAAATAAACGAAGTTAAAGTAGTTCTGTCTCCTTTTCGTGACTGTTCCACTGTTGAAGTCAGTCATGAACAGTGTTATTATCTTATGGGAATGTGATCTTTGTAAGCATTAATGCTTGATTTAATACAACATACATCGACGGGTCCGTAAAACGAACACGTATGTTACTATAAGACGAATTATAGTTTTTTGATCAAATGTAATAAGTATAACAGTAGCTATATATATGTGTAATTATTTTTTAAATATCATTTTTACTTTATGAAATAACTAATTGAACATCACCTTATCTGAAATATATTCCGACAAACAATCTCGTAACATCAGACACGAGTTTGTACTCCGCAGTGACGGTCGATTTTGGAGGTTAAAACTATTTCTTTATTCTGAGTCATATTAATGATAAAAAGTGTAAATTCAGTGTCACAGTATATGTTTTACGATGTCTGCATCATCAAGAAAGAAAATAATTTTAGATTTACCGCTACAAATGGATAAAAATGATTGTTGTGATACTACTTCAAACGAAAATAACAATAAAGCAAATAATAATCTGGGTAAGTACTTGTATAATATTTTCAAGTCAGACGCTTTTTAAAGATAGGCTAGGTGTTTTTTACATTTTGATTAATATTGCAAGAAAAATACGACACACATTAAAATTGCCGACGTATGTGACTAAAATATTTTGTTCTACGATAACTGAAAAAAATGTGTTTCTGTATTATTTGAAGTAGTAATTTAATTTTTAAGAAAATCCACAAAAGAACAACTCGTTTCGATAAAAAATAAATTAACCTTCTTATTTTCACTTAGGTTGTTGTTCAGCCAAAATTATCCTAAAACTTTTAAACGCATGTGCACATACGATGTTGTTCAACGTAAATTTAACAAAAAAATGTAGTCGTATGTGATAATACGATTTTGTTCTTTGTACAAACGTTTACATGAGACTTTGTTCTAAACAAAAAACAGCATTAAGCACAATTAAAAGGTTTTTTTTTACTGGTAATAGGATAGCGCTTAAAGTAAGGTAATACAATTTAGAACTACATTGGATAATATTTGACTATAATACAGAATCTACATACACACGAGACATCCATACTAGCTCCCCGTTACCGTCAGAAACCCACGCCCTCATAGAGCGCTCGTCTCACTCCAAAACAAAATTTATACTCCCGATGAATGGCGCCTGCTTGTACGATGGGCAAAAACAGATGGTGAACCATATTTAGTCAAAGCTATGGTGCAGGAAAACTTTTTTAACTTTAAAACTCATGTCATTGTGAATGACAAAGTATGTAACAAAAAATTAATAAAACAAAAGATCATATTGTGGACTAAAATTAAAGAAGTTTTAGTTGATAAATCTGAACCAAATAAATTTTACTTTAAGTATGCTTTAAATGAAGAATCTTACGAATGCTTAGTTATACAGAACGATAGTACAAGAAACTCATCTTTAATACCTGTCTTGAAACGTGCTTACTCTTCACCACTCAAATTAACAAAAGATAAATATAATGATCTAGATAGCATGTGCAAAACGGGTGTTATAAATGCTACTAATGCAGTATTTTTTAGATCTTTACCCTACAAATCTAGCAATGCAAATGATGACGACTTGAGTAGTGAAATTGATGAGTATATAATACACTAATTAACTTTTTTTTTATAAAAGAAACAGGTAAATAAATACGTAATTGTTGGTTACCTAACAAATTAGTAGAATAAAATAAATAAGCAGAGGTTAGTAAATTAGTGATTATAAGCAATGATTAAAATACAATTTAAAAAAAACTACTACTAGATAATAATTTCGTTGTTATAAGGTTTAGTGATGACGTTATAATGTGATTATGTTGAACTTCGGAACCCTAAAAATGATTGTCTAAAATAGTTTTCCTTTTACCATCTACATTTAGATACGATAACGGTACCTAGATTTAACACATACGACTTTGGTATTGAGCCAATATCGATGTACATAGTCTCTTGTACACATACTACTTTTTGTGACTATAAAGATTCCATAAAACAAAGTCGCATATGTAGTTAAGTCTGAGTTTATAATATAATATTCCAGAAAACAAAGTCTTACTGTTACATAAGAATCAATTTTAAATAAAATACATATTTAAAACAAAACACTACACAGCAAAAACAAGTAAACAAAAGAAACAAATACTTTTTACTATAATTTACTTCAAATTATGATGTTCTGAGACGTAATTCACATGCGTAACTTTAATGCTTCCTACTGCAACTAGACAACTTTGAAGATACGACTTTGTTCTTGGGACCCGTCGACATCTACTTCTGCAAAATTACACCGATCTTGTCACGACAAAGAAAAATTTCCGTGCTTATAAGCGATTTTGTAAAAAATAATATGTATTGGTATTTAGCCAATAGCTCAAAAGATATGTCCCCTTAATAAAATTGATGCTTATTGCACAGAATAAGTAATAGTACAGGTACAGAAGGATTACTCCGCAAGACGATTTAAATAAATACGAGTCTTGCTACGACGCGATACAGTGGAATTCAGCTCGCACAGCACTACGTACCTACAATTTTATTCACCTACAAGTTTTGTCTCTTTCTATCGCGTGCCTCTGAACTCTTCTTACGCTGTTAGGGTTGCTGTCTAGTAGTGTCTAGTAAAAAANTTAGTATTATTCTAGGTCAAAAGCAATGCCAAACCACCTGCGTCTGATGAATGAAATGAAAACGTGCGTGCGCAGGTGATCTACGGTGTTAGGTCTAGCTTCTACGATAATCATCTTTGTAGATGTAATCTTGCAATCTATTTTCGCACTTTAGTACCTATTTATATCACAAATACATTTATAAACAGAATAATGTATACCTCAGGTGACCTAAGTCTAATTTTTACGGTAGCTTTTCGATATAATATTCATTACGTGGTAATATAAAAGCTGATTTTTATAATAATATTTGGGCCCTAATTAGAAGTTGTTTCCTTATCAGCCAGATAGTTTTGACCGTTCTTCTAACCCCAGACACTCATTATGACCCAAACTTCACGGTGCATGCGCTGCGCTGATAAATTTTCAGCTTTTATAAAATGACGTAGGTCGGGCGTTCACTAGCTCTTGGTCTATAAGTCATTATGTCACTTCCTTTAGGTATTTTCTGAAATCATTTTTACAGTCAAAGTTACAGAAATAAGCTCATCGAGTCTACGTCATAACACAAGGTAATTCGTTGCATCAGTTATGTCATTAGTGCTAATGTTGGAAAACATACCTAATGAAAATTCTTATAACATTTAAAACTACATAATAAATATTATGTAACTCCCTCGCATAAATCAAGAGCGACATATTGCTGCCAAAAGCTGTCATTGTGCGCAGTGTTTACTAATTACACAGTTGTTGGAGGAAACAATATGAATTAAGCTGTATTTATTTATACAATCTATTTTCCTTTAAAAAGTATTAGTCCAGTCATTTCGTCCGAAAAAAAGGCAAATAAAAGAAAATGAATTTGCGCTTCTAATTTTTTAATATGTTGTAGGGGATACCTAGAAAAGCTTAACTTGAGATTGTCGACCAAGCTTTCCTAGGAGCTTTCGCCGCCATCTTGGAAAACGCTTAAAATTTGTTTTTCGGCAATAACTCGGCTATCCGATGAGATTCGAAAATTTTTGTAGGACACTTTTTGTAGCTTTCTTTGTGCTCTACAATAACGCCCGAACCATTTTTAGCGTATCATGCATCGTTATCGAGATATCGATCGATAAAGTCAAAAATTTTGGACACAACCCCCCCCCCCGCCCCGTCACAAGTCCTATGGCACCCCCCGGTACCCCCCAGGATTTTGGGGTTACCTACCGATTCGAAGATTGAAAGACAATTGCATGCCCCCCCCGTATCATGACATAGACCGCAGATTTGCCATGCAGATGTGCCAGTGAGTACTAATCTGCGCGACTTGTGTCACCCCCTGATGCTTGGCACCCGGGGCGGACCGCCCCCACCGCCCCCCCCTTACGCCGCTACTGAGGTTAGGTTCCTATACTATCCTAAGAATTATTGATTACCTACATGGCCAACATACCTTTCAGCATCTTTAGGAAGAGAAAAAAAATATAAATCCGGTAGATTTCTTTTCGAATTTAAACACCCGAACGCCGCACAATAATATTTCTTTCTCTTTATGTTCTTTTTTAAATAATACTTCGATCATAGAATTAGGTACTACAACGCACGCCAGCGTCCTGACGGGCGCGCGCGTGACACTCGACTGATATAATACCCGCCGGCGGGGCGCTTCGCTGTAGGTAATTATCGGATGTACCGCGCGGAGTGAGCCAGGCCTGCTTATTGTCCGTTTTCTTAAAGGTTACTTAATGATGTCTCCTGTCATCCGCTTTGCACTAGATAGATAGAAGGAAGTCGAACCTTAATTTTAATTTCGAACTCCTATGTTTTTCTGATTAATTTCGTTGCGGGTCCAATGACAGTTTAACTTTCCCCCAGAACAAACTTGACCTTCACTGGTTGGGTTTTTATTGGCAGTCCAGTTCGATCCGTTTCCGGGTTGATAAGTGTGCTTCGTCCTTAAGCATCCCCTGCAGCTGTGCCGTCCCCTTAGAGCAGTAGTTCCCAAACTTGTTTTGTCTACTGCCCACTTTGCCACTGGGTCTCTTACCGCCCCCCTTTAAGCCTGTAGCGCCCACAAGGGGGCGTTATCACCCACTTTGGGAAAGACTGCCTTAGAGTATGGAACCTTCAGTGCTATTTTCACTCATTCTTGATTTATTTTTCTTTATTTTCAGTACAAAATCAGGGACAAGCAACTGCTGGTGAAGTCCGCCATTTGCGTGATGTTCGTAGTTGTTGTTTTCTTCTTACACGCTATCCCCGAATTGCGTAAGTATTATAATCATACATAACTATACAGTTTAGTTTTTAGAGGGGGGCACTTTAAACTTTAACATTTTGCAAACGGATCCCTTAATCGAAAAATAGTCTTAGAAACCCCTAAGTCATTTTAAAATAACTACAACGAATCGTTGTCAACGATACTCCACACAATGCGGTAGAAGATGAAAAAAAATCATCACTTTACATGAAAAAAATGTTATTTCAAAATTTTATTGTACCGTTTTGTCGGCGTGTTTAATATACATACCTTCACAAAATTACAGCTCTCTAGTGCCAATAGTTTCCAAGCAAAATCTCGGACAGACAGACAGACGGACATAACGAAACAAGGAACCCTAAAAGCAGTTTTTATAATGTGTTTTCATATATTTTTTTGTTTCTTATTAATAAACTAGCGGCCGCCCGCGACTTCGTACGCGTAGATCCCGTTTTACCCCTTTCATTTATCTTACGCGGTTAAGATTTTTTCATACAAATGTTTTTTCTCGCTAACTCCCGTTCCCGTGGGAATTTTGCAATATCCTGTTGTAACTAAGCTTTAAGTTTACTAAGGTACCTGCATGCCAAATTTCAAGCGTCTAACTTAAGCGGTTTAGATTTTTCATACAAAAGGATTTTCCCGCTAATTCCCGTTTCCGTGGGAATTCCTAAGTATACTATAACCTGCCCAGGAGTATGAAGAATAATTGTACCAAATTTCGTTAAAATCCGTCGAGTAGTTTTTGTTTCTATAAGGAACATACAGACAGACAGACAAAAATTTTACTGGTTGCATTTTTGGCATCAGTATCGATCACTAATCACCCCCTGATAGTTATTTTGAAAATATATTTCATGTACAGAATTGACCTCTCTACAGATTTATTATAAGTATAGATAAACCCTTGTTTCTTTCCAGAGCGTCTCTCGCTCGGCTGGACAGCTCTCCTCGGGGCTCTCTTACTGCTTCTCCTGGCGGAGAGGGAGGATCTGGAGCCTATTCTGGCGCGGGTGGAGTGGTCCACACTCCTGTTCTTTGCGGCTCTCTTTGTGTTGATGGAAGTGAGTTACATGTAAACTTACTTTAACTTTGACAAACATCAAAAATCCGTCAAACTACATATGTACAAAAAACACCGGTTATCGTTATAGTTACGGTCAAAGTTAGGTGGTGCAACTCTGCCTAAATCTTCTTCTTCTCGTCGTGTTGACAACAAACTTACAGTGTCAGCCCAAAACTCCGCTACAAGAGTGGCGTTGTCAGTAGCATTCATTAAATCTTCCTGAGTGCAGTTGTTTGGGCACGCATAACTAAATTACTCGACTAGTACGAACAAGGCTTAAGCATATTATAATTTTAAACTTTCTCATACATATCACATCACAGAAAATATAATACTAGTTACCTAAGCCACTCATATTATAAAAATGTCGCGTTGAGAACCATGTGTCTATCATTGATTACAGGCTCTCTCCAAGCTGGGTCTGATCGCATGGATCGGCAAGATGACTGAAGCCGTCATCCTGAGCGTCGGGCAGGAGTCCCGCCTGGCTGTCGCCGTCATGCTGGTGCTTTGGGTGAGTCCTCCATCATCATCATCATTTCAGCCACTGGACGTCCACTGCTGAACATAGGCCTCCTCCAAGGTTTTCCACATCGCCCGGTTGGTAGCGGCCTGCATCCAGCGCCTTCCTGCTACCTTTATGAGGTCGACGGTCCACCTAGTGGGGGCCTGCCTTTATTATAGGTCACATAAGAAGGCTCAAGGTCACCCAAAGGACGATAGTGTGCTATGCTCGGAGTTCCCCTGCGTGATCGAATCAAAAATGAGGAGATCCGCAGGAGAACCAAAGTGACCGACATACCCTCTGTGAGATATTTGCCCCGCCCACTGCCTCTTGATTTTATCTATTCTGCGGGCTATGTCAGTCATTTTGGTTCACCTGCTAATCTGGATACAGATCCAACCCGTAGAGACCGTTTTAAGCACAAAAAATCAACATTGTGATCAAAAGTGCATTGGAAGAAAGAACCTTAACTTCGAACTCCTCTTATGTTCTTCTGTTTAATTTCGTTGCTGGTTCAATGACAGTTTAACCAAACTTGACCTTCACTGGTTGGGTTTTTACTGGCGGTAAAGCTGCAGATCCTGGCTACACAGGAGTTGCAGCGGTGGGAATGAGAGGTGGGAAATGTGATAGTACACATTATAAATCATTACCTACAATAATTATTGCAGGTGTCAGGGATAGCATCAGCGTTCGTGGACAACATTCCCCTGACGACCATGATGGTGCGAGTCATGGCTACTCTAGCTGATCCCAACGGGCTGGGGCTCCCTCTGGCGCCTTTGGCCTGGTCGCTGAGCTTCGGGGCCTGTCTTGGAGGTATTCATCGTCATCATCTCAGCCACAGGACGTCCACTGCTGAACATAGGCCTCCAATGATTAATACTAACGGGTAACGGCCTGCATCCAGCGCCTTCCTTCTACCTTTATGCGGTCGTCGGCCCACCTTGTCGCTTGGAGGCATTAGACGAGGCGAGGCGTTTACGTACGGTGTGCGTTGCAGTACGGAGTTTCATACAAATAATTACCGCCTCGAGTTGATATGGTTACGATCCGTTTCAAGGTTGATAAGTGTGCTACGTCCTTTATGCTGAGTCGCCTTTTTGGTGCAAAAATGCGTATGTATAGATTTTTTGATTTGTTTATTTGTTCTTTAATAAATTACCACAAACTGTTGTAGAAGCACATATTAAAAGCACCTTAATGAAAAAGGGCTACTATAAAGTCGATGATTAATTATTTAAAAGATAAAAATGTTTGGGATGCGTAACTGCCTAGCTCGCATAAATTAATATTTATAACTTGTATTTTTAAAGCCTGTAAACTTTTGAAAAAGAGGCTGACAATAGTGACTGAGTTTCTTGCGCTGCTTCTTCTCAGCACTGGCCCGTTTATTGTCCTGAAGCAGTGGTAGGGTTAATACTGGGACGTGTAAAAGTGCTTTTTAAAGCCTATTTACCGAAATAAATGAGTTTTATTAGTTTTTATGTATTTTCCTGTCATTATAATGATTATTTATTTTTCTATTTCAGGTAACGGCACCCTCATAGGCGCTAGTGCGAACGTTGTTTGCGCAGGCGTGGCCGAGCAACATGGCTACCGGTTCACGTTCGTCCAATACCTTAAAGTAGGGTTCCCCATCATGATTGGAAACCTTTTAGTCGCGTCAGTGTACTTGCTGATATGTCATTGTGCTTTCACGTGGCACTGATATTGACTTACTTGACATAAGGTCCTAATGTCCCCTAGATGGGGCAGAGGGCGTCCACAACAGTCCTCCATCGCGTTCGGTCTTGAGCTTCGCGCTTGATCTCGCTCCAGGTCTTGCCGATTTTCTTCGCCTCGGCACTGATATTAGATATTCAATGGCCGAGGCGTGCACGTGGGCCCCAAATTCAAGGGCCCCCTATCCAGAAATATCACACCTCCACAAACATTATGAGGTCTCACAGTGCGCATGGACGCACAGGGTCCCAAAAACTATTGAAAAACAATACTTGAGTGGCGGACACACGAACCAATCGCAGAGCTCTATTCGACGCGTGCGTTTGACTTTGCATAGCGTTGCTGCGTCACTTAATCAAGGATCGTTTGTGAATACGGGTGTAAAACTATAAAGGCCCTTTCCCGCGACAATCCAGTATTGCCGGGTCACGCAAAACTGGACTGTCGTGTGAACACAGTTTTGCGGGACACTGCAAACGGGATGTTTGCGTGAACGTTAATATTAACACTCGTATACCGCTGTGACGATACTGTGTCAGTATGACTCCATATGTGTAAATCAACCTTTAGAGATGTTTTGTAAAATATTTTGATATATTTTAATAAATTGTAGAATACTAGAAAATATAAAATAAACAAGGATTCTACTAAAGCCCGGTCCGTGAACACATAGAATTTTGTCCAATGACCCCTAGCTACCCATCCTTATAGCTGTCGCGACTGTGCGACTGGTACCCGCAGTGAGTGTGCGAGCGCGATAGCAACATAATTACGCGCGAGTGATAAGGATGGGTAGCTAGGGCTCATTAGACAAAATTCTTCGTGCTCACAGACCAGACTATACCTGTATTTTACAATAAATTTAGGTACTTAAGCACTTATTATGTAGTACGATACAAATTTCGAAATATTTTTCTGATTATGTACATTTGGCATCGTGCTTTTAGTTGATTTCGTGAAAAATATTATTGGCAGGGAGCTCATTCATGGGTTAATTGATATTTATTGTCCGTGGCGCATATAAATTTTCTTAAAAATAACTAAACCTTTGTTTGTCACCTGTCATCCGCTTTGCAATGGAGGGAAGTCGAACCGTAACTTCGAACTCCTCTTTTCTTCTGAATAATTTCGTTGCGGGTCCAATGACAGTTTAACTTTCCCCGGGACAAACTTGACCTTCACTGGTTAGGTTTTTATTGGCAAAATGGCCGTTGCTAAAAGTAGAATGTCTATGGTCCTTAAGTGTTACAAAAAATGGATATAAATATTTACTTAATTAGAAAAATACATGAATATTCAGATAGAAGAATAAAGCAATGAAACAATATAACAAAAATATTGTTTATCTGTTTATTATAATAAATTTACAAAGGTAATTATTAATACTAAATGTTATGTAAATAAAATAATCTAGCTGTGAAATTATTTTTTAAAATTTTATTCGTAAAAATGATGTAATTATTTTTGAAACCTTGAGTTTAGTATACAGGGTGTATTATAAAATTCTTGTTATTAAATGAAATATACATTTTAATGTCATCCAATTTTAATGTGATATTATTTATTATTTGTACATGTACAATGATATTTATATCTATCGTCTAAAGGTGAGTATAGACTAGAACATTTCTATGTAATGTTCGTTCTTGCGAATGGTACAAAACAGGTAACATAAATGACGTTTGGTTCGTGACACAGTTTGACTTATGATATTTCATAGAGCGGCTTGATGTTCTGTTACAAGTAAATGCTCTATAGTCTGGTCTGCAAGCACGTGGAATTTTGTCCAATGACCCCAAGCTACCCATCCTTATCGCTCGCGCGTAATTATGTTGCTGTCGCGCTCGCACACTCATTGCGGCCGCCCGTCGCACAGTCGCGACAGCAATATAATTAAGCGCGAGCGATAAGGATGGGTAGCTTGGGGTCATTGGACAAAATTCTACGTGCTCACAGACCGAGCTTTAGTGTATACTCAGCTTAATGTTTTAACGTAGGTTAGCTCGCCTTGGTTACAAAGCTGAGCTCCTTAGACAAAGTTACAAACGCGACAGATGTAATTTCGGATTCGTTTCGATCCGGCGTTGTCTTGTATGTCGTTATTATCATTGCTACTTAGTCTAGCCCTCTGAGATCGCATATCGTTTTGAATACAAATCATCACAACTATTTTCTATCAATAAGTTGCGATTTAATATTTTAGTAAGTTATGTTTCCGCAGTATTGTAAATAATATTAAGTTTCACAAATTTTAAAAAATTAAATTAATATAAATTGTTAAATCTGGCTAGTTTTTGTTTTAATTACTTTTAAATAATAGTAATATTCTTTCGCTTTTGTACGTTTCCCCGCGTACACCCCGTCCGTACCGGAGCGTCGATGTGACGTCACGGCAGCCATGTGCGCAGTCATAACCCGACCGGGTTGTACATTAAAGGTAAATAAATAATAAATAAATACAAGCTGTCATCGCCTTTCGCGCTATCAAGCGAAGCGAGGCGTTTACGTTACGGTACGGATAAGTGTGCGTTGCAGTATGGCGTTTCAAACAAAAAATACTGACCGCTTATTGTGAGCTATGCATCTATCACCTGTCAATTTATTGCTGTCTATGAAGGGACAACATACTCCGCACAGCTCTGCATCGCACCTCCGCCATGCTGTCAAATTATATACACCACTAAATTTTAATCACCGAAAAAAAAATTCTGGGTAATGAGTTATTGATACTGATCCCATTTGTGCAAAAAAAAGAGTAAAATAAAGCGACTCAAAATATCCTCCTAAAATTGATAATTTATTGACACACGCGTCGCGAGCACTATTTACGTACGCTAATGTAACACTTATTAGAATTCAAAATGGTCTAAGTTAGCTAAGTATGTAATAATAACACTGGAAGCGTGGTCGAGGCGTGAGCGAGACAGACAGATCGAGGCAATATGCGAGCGCCCACGACTACTCTAGCGAGCAGCGGAGTGACCCAGCTGTGACGCGTGAAATACGGATTAACGAAAATTTAATAAAAAAATTAACTTCATGAAAACCATTTCTTTTTCTTTTGCTTTCAATATTCCACACGTTTCTACATAACCTGTTTAAATTTTTTCGGTGATAAAAATTTTGTGGTGTATATAGGGTGTTAGGTAAATGGGTATATGAGCCGACACTAGCCCATGTTACATGGGCATATAAATGGTATGGTGAAGTCAGAAATTTGATATCATCATTAATTTTTTTTTAATTGTCATACAAAATAAATTTTATAAAATCCGATTTGTATGAAAATTTAAATAATTAAAATGAAGATATCAATTTTCTGACTTCACCATACCATTTATATGCCCACGTTGACATGGGCTAGTGTCGGCTCATATACCCATTTACCTAACACCCTGTATAGAAAAATGCTCCGAACGACATGACTCATCTCTTCTCCGCTCGATATATTTCTGCTGATGCGGAGCGGAGGGTAGAAACCGAAAGAATGTAATTTCCTGGTTTCCTGAATCATCTTTGATTGGTTATTTAAAAAATTCTGCGCTCCGCTCCGCCTTGGTGGGAGGGAACCGGGCCTAATGCCCGTAGTACAAGCTAAGCTTAGTTTGGCACCAGATTCCGCTGTTAAACTTTTCTAAACATAAAATATTATTTAGTTATTAAATACATATTCACAAAACTTATTTTATGACACCCTGTGTTTACAATGCGCTTTAAAAAGTGATAAATGATTTAAAACTGTTTAAGGCGGTTATCACACTGCGCCGCGCTCCGCCGCGGAGCGCGTGATTTCATATAAAAAAAACCCGCGGGCGGATGCGTTGTCAGTGTGAAATGCCGCGCGTGTTTTCTATACAAACTGAGGTACTTGCATACAATAATTAAATCTGTCGTCCCGCGCTCCGTGGCGGAGCGCGGCGCAGTGTGATAACCGCTTATTGGTGTTTAATTATTTTTGTAAAACCTTTTTTTCGAATTAAAAATTGATTGAAAACGGCTGTGATTTTTTTTGAAATGAAAAGTAACTAAAGGTCATAACACACTTATCAACCTGGAAAGGGATCAACACCGTATCACCTATGGTATAACCTTTCGCCACGCTGTCAACCGCGAGGCGAGGCTGAATTTAACGAAAAGTAAAATGATTTAGACCGGGTTGCTACAATCAGTCCTAAGCCAAATCTGTCCATCAACTGTGAATAAATTTCACTATGTTTTTGGTACCATGAGGTCCATGAGTGCACCCGAATTCACTCCGAAGATATCCGAACGTTAAACGTCACCTATAACTTTCGGATATCTTCGTATTTACGTATTTCTGATATTCGGCTTGGCCGAAGCTTCGGCTGGTTTATGGCTGAAAACGAAAATATGGCCGAATGTCCATTTATGTACAAAAATGGGCGAAAAGGAATATTCGGTCGGTCACTAAATATTTTAATAAATAATTCCGGAATACTTACATCGCTGCATCGCGATCCTGTGTCCCTGAACGAAGTAGTTATTTTCCTTTTATTTGTTAATTTGTTTTTCCTTTATCTTTTGGCTTTTTTTTTTAACAGACGATCTGGTGAAGGTCGCGGGAGGTGCCTGGATGCGGGCAGCGCAGGACCGGTCGTTGTGGAAATCCTTGGGGGAGGCCTTTGTCCAGCAGTGGACGTCATTTGGCTGAAAGATCAAAATAACTTATAGGCTGTCTATCTATATATACAGGGTGTTAGGTAAATGGGTATATGAGCCGACACTAGCCCATGTTAACATGGTCATATAAATGGTATGGTGAAGTCAGAAAATTGATATCTTCATTTTAATTATTTTAATTTTCGTACAAGCCGGATTTTATAAAATTTATTTTGTATGAAAATTTAAAAAAATTAAATTATGATATCAAATTTCTGACTTCACTATACCATTTATATGACCATGTTAACATGGGCTAGTGTCCGCTCATATACCCATTTACCTAACACCCTGTATAAAAGAAAGTCGTGTTAGTTACTCCACTTATAACTCAAGAACGGCTGAACCGATTTAGCTGAAAATTGTCAGGGAGGTAGTTTAGAGCCAGGAGAAGGACATAGGATACTTTTTATCCCGTTCGATATTCTGTGGTTTTACTATTTGAATTGATGGTGGCGCCCTCTTGCAAATGTCAAAACAACTTCTTCTTTGTTGATGGCGGTGAACTTGTGCATTTTCGCCAATTTTGCTAAAACCCGTATGTGATGGTGGCGCCCTCTATTTACTTTTTTTTTTCTTTTAATATTGTATTTTTTTTTTGTTTTTTCTCTTTTATTTGTTTTTTGTGTATTGTCTCATCTCATATTTGTTTCCAGCTCTCTCCAAAAATGGTCACCGCAGAATAACAGCGTCGTGTTCTGGTTTTATTTACCACTCCAGAGCATGACACATGCTGAGCGGTGGCCAATTTTGGTTCTAACTTAAACTTGTTTTTTGTTATCTCATTCTGTGTGTTATATTTTTTAAGTTTGAACCAAATAAATCGATGGGTGCCTGGAATAAAGCCGCAACAGCCATAGCAGCAGTTTTCCGATTAAGTGATTTTAGTAAACTGCGAGTCCCTATACACCTTTTGATTTTTTTTCAGAATTTTATCTTTGAAACTGCCTGATTTACCAAAAGCACTATGGATATTGAATCGTTATTCCCATTCATCATTTAAAATTTGTTGACCGGAATAATCGTGCCATATACAATGTTAAAACTTTTATTTAAATCTTCTACACGCAAACGGCTATTACTGTATCCTTCACAGTGGCGGGGCAAGNTATATGGTTAGAATGGAAATACATGATTCATGTAATATGTATAATGCGGGAAAATAAGGTGACTTTTTTCTAATAGAGAATACCTACTTGTTAATTTGTATTGTGTATACCTAATTGCCATTGGGGGAGGCATACGTTCAGCAGTGGACGTCATGTGGCTGAAATGATGATGATGATATACCTAAATGATAGAGAGTGAATATTATCTAGACTATATATTTTTTTTTGTTAAAAAAGATTATTAGCAATTTGTATTGCCCAAATTACTAATAGTCCCGTTAAGTTTCGTGGTAAGCTAAATAAGCTTGTGTTACGAGTGGGCTCACCACAATAGTCGAGCGGCGGTGGGATTCGAACCCGCGTTCCTCGGATCTCGAGGCGGCCACTCCGACCCCTTCACCGTTCGGCTATCGTGGCTATTTAAGTAACTAATTTGGTATTATTTAGGTAATTAATTTGTATTATAATCACTGAATAAGGATGCTATATTTTGATTGCGAATGTGAAAACCCGAACAATATCGCAGCTTTATTTGTTGTGGTTTATTTATTTGTTTTATACAGAACATCATATTGTTTTTAATTTTATTATTACAATAAAATCTATTC